TTTCGCGTCCGCTCTCCTCAGCGGCTCGGTGGGACGGGAGGCTTTTTCGGCCGCGTCGTTTTCAGTGGAAATGGGGAATTCTGTCAGTGTGGCTCATCCATAGGCAGCTGTTCCACATCTGCGCGGCGGAGGAGGCGACGCCTCTGCAGACACCTGCCTGCCTGCTCCGTGGAGCAGTTCGGACTTGTTTATGCATCCTGCCGGCGTTCTGCAGGAGCGATCCGAGAGATCTTTTTGATCAGTTGGGGCTCTCGTGGGGCAGCTGATTCGCTTGTATTGACGCCATAAGCTACTTGTCTTCAGAGAGAGCAAATACTTTTTGATGCCTTCAAAAGGCTGCCAGTTCCAGCCCTTCCTAGAGATGCAGCAGTGCTGGGAAACCTTTACGCAGTAGATAATAGTTTTCACCTTCTATTGTCTTCAGGCGGTTTTTATGTATGGCACAGAGGTGTTGGATGCTGACAGAGGAAGGTATAGCGCAGTCATGGGCAGTGTTGGGGGCTCTGTCTTCCACCATGTGCCAAGATCTGAGCGTGCTTGTATGGATTCTTGAACTTGGAGACAACAAGGAGTTTATGTCATGTGATGAGGCCAGTCCTCTTTTTCATCCTGTTGTCCCAATCGCATGTTCAAGGACTTAAAAAATTCGAGGATGCTGCGACTAAAGAGAAGTCCTTTTCTTAGAGACATTGAGCAAGTTCTTAGTGTACAAGACAATTGAAAATCCTGTGCTGTTGTAGTTCTGCAAAGCATTCATAAGCCTAAATTCATAGAACTGTGCAAAAGGACTCAGATTTTTTATTTTCAGAATGAGCAGGTACCTGACAGGCTTTTTATTGAAAATTTCTGTTCATGTAGAGAGCACAGATATTTTGCTATGAGTCCAATTAATTGTTGCACATATAAATTCTTTTTATACCTATTTTATATGCCTCCAAGTGGAGCAATCAGAGAAATTAGTCAGATTAATTATTATAATGCTTAGCTGGATGGTTTTATTAAACATAACAGCACGTGACATCCAAACAGTATTTCAGGAGTGCTAATCATATTCATGGTACCTTGTGAACTATTAGAACTTGACTATTAATATGCCTTTTTTACTCTGTTGAAAAGGAATATTAAGTTTCTCTAATGTTTTCTTGATGCTACTGTGCTGTCCAGCCAAGCTAGACTAGTGAGTCATAAATAGTGTAATTAAATTGATTTGGCAGTTGTGTGAAGTCTCTTTATTAGGACAGAGGGTAAATAAAACCTAGATTTTTTTAGCTTTCTCCAGTTAAGCTTGCCTGAAGATTCACTGTATTTTCCACTAACGTAGCTCTTCTACTCTTTCTGACTTTAAAACCAAAATTCATAAGCTATTTTAAAACTTACTTCCTTGTACCTCTAAGTTACGTTCCTGTTCCCACTTATCTTTTCTCCCTTCCCTTTTTCACGCTGAAGAAATATGGATGTCAAGAGTAGAAATTATTTAATTATGAACCGCCAGGCATTGGAAAAAGACATCAAGACTTCTTATATCATGGATCATATGATTTCTGACGAAGTACTAACATTACAGGAGGAGGAGAAAGTGAAACAGCAGGTAGAGTCATCTCTCACTTGTTGTCTTCTTAGTTTATTCACGTGTTTTACTATGCTTTTTAAAAACAGTAATTTCTGCCTCTCTAATTCCTGGGTCCAGCAAATTCTTAAGCATGTGGCTAGCAGGCAGCTTTTCTTGCAGTTCATAAGGTTGGGTTAATGGCTTGGTCAAATTGAAGGCTATTTCTGTAACTATAAATAGTCTATAATTTACAGAGTGATAGACGAGATGATTTCTAAGGTCTCTCAGTTTTGTGTAATACCTCTTTGAATGTTCTTTCTAGAGTACACAGAAGGAGCGAGCAGCTATGCTGATAAACATTATTCTTACGAAAGATAACAATTCATATAGATCCTTTTATAATGCACTGCTCCATGAAGGGTACAGCGATCTTGCTGCACTTCTTCAGGATGGAATCCCTTCCGTCTCCTCTGGCAACAGAAAGAGTTCAATGGATGGAATGACTTCATATGGTCAGTGTAATTACAGCAATCCCTGTGCTTGAAAGTAAAGTTGTCTTCTTTATTACTTAGGAAGTGACTATCTATAATACCCATTCCAATGAAGAAGGAGTAGTTGGTGCATTCACTTGTTTTGGTAGCGTCATAGTCAGTATTTCTGTATCTCTTACATTCAATATGACAGGAGAGTTACAGCAGTTGCAGCTTTTGTAGGTCATCTTGAAAGTGTTAGTATTCAGTAATGTTTATTTCACAAGATGGGAAACCAGAAACTCTCCTGGTTTTCGCTACATTGTAAGTTCTAAGTGAAAGACCCTCATTTGTATCTACTGAAGAAGTTGAATATAACACGAAAACTTGTAGCCTCCAAAATTCCAATATTTATCTGGAAGAGTAATCTGTAATAAGAGTAATCTCTTATCCTTTATTCCAATAGTTGATCTATTTTAATATAAATTAGGTTGCTTAGTTCTTTCCACCAGATCTTTTAGTTACCATACGTAAGTTCCTAAGTTCTACCTACATTGTCATTGGTGTCATCTTTGATTAACATGAAATAAATTTGCGGTTTCTAATGGGAAGAACTGTCTAACTGCCATATTTACTGTGTCAAAGGCATGTGGAATTTTGGTTATCCAAGTAAGATCTCCCAAAGTCTATCAGTATAATATGTCACTGTATTTGGCCACAAAGTGAACAGATAAAGTGTACATTTCCTTTTCTGCTATGCTTCACCTCTTCTATTTCAGGTCACTTCAAGAGCCTTCTAGCTATTTAGGGTGGGGAGCTGTTTGGTTTGAGGAGGCATCATGTTGAGAATTCACTTTTTATTTTCATGTTTCTTGTTTTTTACTTTAGTTAAGACAGTTCTCTGCGAAGGAGGTGTACCACAGAGACCAGTTGTGTTTGTCACTCGGCCGAAACTGGTAGATGCTATTAAAAAGAAATTATGCTGCCTGGGAAGTGATCCAGGCTGGGTCACAGTTTATGGAATGGCAGGTTGTGGGAAGACTGTTTTAACAGCAGAAGCTTTAAGGGATCATCAGCTCTTGACAGGTACTTTTAGAAAAACATATGTATTTTTATAAAAATCACTACAGATATATGTGTATTGGAGATAATAAGGTGAAGTATCATATGCCATCTTCCTAGTGATTTAGGTTTCTAAATTTCTTACCTGCTTCTGAACTACTTGCTCCACACAGCTTTCATAACCATTTCGTCCTCTAGGACCACTAAGTATTTTTTTTGTTTATGGAAAAAGATTTTTGAATTGCTTTTCACCTTAGAGTCTGCTGTGGTTTGTGAGAGTAGAGGCATCCTCAATTAACTTGAAATTGTTATTTCAGTTAGTGCAAAATAACCATATCTAGTTCATACTCCTTTTGGGCATTGCTTGTGAAGTCCTCAGACTCTTCTCCTTGTTGTGTGAGTTTACACAAGCTGTGCTCTAACTTTTGCACATATTTTAATAATAGGAATTTGTGGAGTGATTGCACTAGTATCACTTCAGCTGACAGCAGATCATAAGTGAAACCACTTCATTGTGTTTTGATTCTTTTTTCCACCTGCATAGGACACTAGGAGAAGAAAAGTAGGATTCTGGCATTAGAAAACATGAAGTAGGGATAGAGACTACAGCATCCTCTGCTACAGCTGACTCTTCTAGACTAGATGTGGCACTTAGTGCCATGGTCTAGTAACAACGGTAGGGTTGGACTTGATGGTTTTTGAGGTATCTTCCAACCTGGTTGATTCTATGCCGCTGTGATTCTAGATGTCTTCTTGATCACTGTTTTGGGGTTACATAACATCCCAAACTCTGGACTGCAGCAATACAGAGTTAAAAAAGTAAATGTTAAGCCACACTAGCAGGAAGGTGGATGCAGAAGGGACAGGCAGGAACACATGTAGAAAGGAAGGACAACAGCATCAGCTGTTTCATATTTTAGTTGAAATAGAGTTCTTGATTGCTGTCGTAAGCTGCTATTAAATATTTCTGATTTTAAATGTATAACATGATTAATACTGCTTTTTTTGTAAGATTACTTTCCAGGAGGAGTTCACTGGATCTCTGTTGGGAAACAGGACAAAGCAGGGCTCCTAATAAAACTTCAGAATCTCTGTAGTAGATTGGAACATGACTCAGCTCTTTCACAAAGGCCACCACTTAACATTGAGGAGGCTAAAGATCGTCTTCGTTTGCTGATGTTACGCAAATATCCCAGGTGATGTCAGTAAAATGAAACACTATTCTTTTAACTGAGAAAACAACTTTGCAGAGTAACTTTGGTCTGGTTATCTAAGATGTCTGTGTTGTGGTTACATGTCTCTGTGGTGGGTTTTTTTTTTAAAAATCAACTTCTAACTTAGTCTAATAAGGCTTCTGCTAACAAAGTATGTTAATCAACTGTGCAGGAGTCATATGTGCTTGAAAAATTATTAGTCATTGAATAGTGAAAGTTGGGAGCAAACAATTGGACATAAGGATTGCTCTAACTTTCAGTATTCTCATTGTGTGCATAGAGTGCTTCACTGATATGTGAGGATCATACAGCAGAAAAAATGGTGTGTATCAGTGCAGAAAATCTTTCCAGAACAGTGGATGTCTTTTTAAAAAGTGTTTGGTTTAGAGGTACCGAAGTGAAAGCAGGTTTTCATGGTGTGATCAGTTAACCCCAGGAAACCAGTTGCTTTGAAACTTCAGGGAAAGTGACTTGATTTAATCAAATAGTATCTCAGTCACTGCACAGCTTCTTCCTCTTTGAGCAATATGTTTTGTAAAGGATTTTAGTGCTCTCTGGGAAAATCTGTACTAAACTAAACAAGCCTGCACCTCAGTGAGTTGTCTCGGGATGAGTGCTCCAACCTTGTGACCTTATAGATGATATGGAGTAGAATACTGGCATTTTTGTACAGGGGTTAAAAACAGGTCTGTCTTGTGTAGAAGAGATGTGAAAAATATTGCCAGCTTCTCCACAAGAAAGCTTTCCTTTTTTTGGGGGAATCTTACATGAAAGGTTCAAATGATGTTTTCAGCTGAAAGTGTACTTTTCCATGAAGTATGTGAAGTGGTTGTCTCCATGGACACGCTTCCATTTTTAAATCTTGTTTATTAGCAAATTAAACAAAGCCAAACTCTTCAATACAGAAGAATTTTAAGGTTTAATTTGCACACAGCATTAGTGTGGGTGTGAGGGGAGGTAAGTGGGTGTGGGAAGAAGTAGAGGGGAATGTACTGAGGAGTGAGGTTCATAGAGCACAAGTGTATTGAAACCAAGCTTCACTTGTTCTGCAGCTAGTGGAAGAACTTGCTCTGCACTGGAATTTGGAGACAAAAAGTCACTTTAGCTATTTCTGGATTCAAATAGTCAACCTGATATATCTTGGAACTAGAGTATTAGACAAAGGATTCAGATTCTTGGGATTAAAGTATTAGTCAAATGAAGAAATTGAAACTATGATATACTTTAGAGTAATAAATGCCAGAGTTTAATCTCTGGTGGATGTTATCACAGGGTTTTGTTCGTTGGTTTGGGGTGGTTTTGTTTCTTTTGGGTTTTCTTTGTTTTAATTTTTTTTCAATAATCTTAATTAGGATTTAAGATTTATTGGTGTGGTTGAAGGAGAAAAATCGCTGGTGTTGAAAGACTGGGAGGACTTTGAACTTCTCAGATTAATTGAAAGCATAAAATCAGGCTGTAATTCGTACCACCCACCATATTTCCCGGTGTGAAAGTGCCACAAAATTAGTCATTTATGGCTATGGTAGTATCTTGAGAACCCTCTGATTTATCAAAAGGGTATTAATAGAGGAGTTGTATAAAAATGAGATGGGGTAGCCAAGACTTAGGTGTAACTTTGAAAATGTGGTATGATTTGTTTGAAGTTGATTAAGAGGTGTCAGATCCTTATTTATGAGCTTTGGTGGCATAAGTGCTATTTAGCTGAACAAAAAAATGCGGAAGTCTTGGCATGCTTCAGTGGGAATTGGACAAGTTAACCAATGACTAGTGTAGCTGAAATTTTCATTCCTTAAAAAAAAAAAAAGGCAGTAAAGGTGAGCAATTTGTAGGATTATGTTTCAATAACTAAAACCCACCAAATGCAAATAACTGGTATTTCTTTTCATACATCTTCTTGCCAGCTAGTCTTTTGGCTTCTTGCTCCCTTAGAACCAATCTTTAATAAACAATTTTCAGTAATTTCTTTGTCATATGTAGGCAGGTGTATGGAATCATGGAATATCCCCAGTTGGAAGGGACGGATCATCAAAGTCCAAGTCCTGGCCCTGCACAGGACACCTCAACAATCCCACCATGCGCCTGGGAGCATTGTCCAAATGCTCCTTGAGCTCTATCAGACTTGGAGCTGTGACCACTGCCCCTGGGAGCTGTTTCAGTGCCCAGCTACCTTCTGGGGGAAGAACCTGTTCCTGATATCCAGCCTAAACCTCCCCTGACACAGTTCTAAGCCATTCCCTTAGCTCCTGTCACTGGTCACACAGAGCAGAGATCGGTGCTGCCATTCCAGAGGAAGCTATAAACAGCCATGAGATCTCCCCTCTGTCTCCTCCAGGCAGAGATTTATCTCCATGGATAATTTTTCCCTCTTGAAAGCTAGAAATACTCCCATCTCTGCTTCCAAATCACTGGGTTTTGATATTCTATTCATTACTCACTGCTTTGAGAGCTGGTGGTGCATGTCAGATCCCAGCAGCCACCTCTAAGGATCTTTGACTTGCAAATCATGACCATGCTTCACCTGCAGCTCCTCCCTGGCCTGTTCTATCACCTCCAAACCTGCCTTAACATCAAAGCTTGTCCTCTTCACTCTGATTCTTATTTCCCTGCCAGCTTTTACTTGGCATCTGGACAATAATTTTTAAAAGAAGTTCCTGATGTCAGGGAGGGATTGATGGTCACTCACTCAGGTGTAGGGGAGTCTGCTGTACTTATTTTGGTGAGATTCTATGTGGTAACCTCTGTACAGGTCCAACCATAGGATTTGAATACGTAGTCACGATCAAATGTTGGTTGTATAACGAGCCTCACCATCCAAGATAATTCCTTCACAAAAGAATTACTCACGTATAGCTTTCTGAAGATACAAGAATGAAACGGAAAACTCTTGAGTCAAAAGGAATCTGAAATGCTTTCTCCCATAAAGCTTATCACTAGTCTGTGTCAAGCAGAATTGTTATTTAGTCCTATACAGCTCTTTTCTTCATTTATGATACCTTATGTCTTGGAAAACAGTAAAGATTTCTGGTTTTCCTGGATCTACTAATGGAAGTAGGTCTTGAAACAGTATCAATACTTCAATTGTAGCTATAAAGTGATAAATGGTAAAAGCTTCTTCAGCTTCTTTCACAGTGCTTAATTACAGAATCACCAAGGTTGGAAGAGACCTTCAAGACCATGTAGTCCAACCATCAACCTAGCACCACCATAATCACCCATAAGCCATGTCCCCAAGTGCCACATCCAGATGCCTCATGAACACTTTCAGAGACCACCACCTTTGTGGGCAACTTTCTCCAATGCCTAACCACACTTTCAGTGAAATTTTTTTCTTGTATCTAATCTGAATTTACCCTGGCACAACTTAAGGCTGTTTGCTGTCATCCTTTCATTTGAGACATGGCAAAGAGAACAACCCCCACATGGCTGTGACCTCCTTTCAGGTAGTTGTGACAAAGTTGCCCATGAGCCTCCTTTTCTCCAGGCTACACAACCCCAGCTCCCTCAGCTGCTCCTCATAGGACTTACTCTCAAGACCCTTCACCAGCTTCATTGCCCTTCTCTAGACATGCTCTTAAGATATTTTGCATATTAATCTAAAAAAATTATGCAGATACATTGTAAATTTTGATAATGTTCTTTCATTATTAAAATTCAATGCTTTCTTTTAGCACTAATAGTGGATCTGACATCTGCAATATTTCTTCTTACACCAGATCTCTTTTGGTCCTGGATGACATTTGGGATTCCTGGGTATTAAAAGCATTCGATAATCAATGCCAGGTTCTTATCACCAGCAGAGACAGGAGTGTAACAGATGCTGTGGCTGGTAAGGAACTGTTTTCTCTCCTGCACCACAGATTTTATGCGTATGTGTGTGCAACTTGATCATGTGAACTTTTAAAAGGATCTGATAGAATCTGTGTCTATCAACTTGTGCACAAGTGGCAAAGTACTAGAATTCTGCTCTGTGAGACTATGTCTTATAAGTTATCCTGAAAGTTACATGTTTACATCGAAGAGTGCAGTGATTCTCAGCAGGGTAGGTTAACCTCTGTGACACTAATGCTGTTAGACTGATTACCTCTACACTCTTAAGCAGTCACTGCCCATAATGCATTTGTAATTTTTAGATTATGGTATTTTTTTTTATTTGTTCCTCTAATGCAAACTGTTTCTGATGAGTAGAATTTTTACTGCTCTTAGTGCTAAGCCTATAAAATGCTATGCAAAAAATCATGAACCATCACCTCCTTTACTCCAGATTTTACTTGGAAAATACTTTCAACTTCCATAGAAATTTTTGCATTCTTTTAATTTTTTTCCTGTGTTTCTGTGTCTAGGCAATAAATATGAGGTTCATGTGGAAAGTGGACTAGTACATGAGAAAGGACTGGAGATTTTATCCCTATTTGTGAATATGAAAATATCAGAACTACCAGAACAAGCTAACTGCCTTGTAAGAGAATGCAAAGGTATACTGGTCGCTCTTACACATACCATTTACCACCAAACATATTTTTTGCTTCTAGGTTAGGACTTACAAGGAGACGAGGGAACATCTTTTAGTACTGTATATGTTAAGTAAAACACCAGTGTTTTTAAAATTTTTTGGGTGTTTTTTTAAGCTAAATAGAAGTGTCTTGTGTTGATTTTCGAGTAGTTTTCCTCAGAGTGTTTTCCCCCTGCACCACAATTATGCTTAAATTTGGTGAGTTTGCAGATGTGTGCATGGAGTACATATTTTGTTTCTCTGTCCTCTACACCTCAAGAATATAATCTGTGCATTGGGAAAACTACCTGATTCATTCAACCACTTGACTATCAATCAACTGTGATTGTGTTCCTTGAAAACTTGTAAGATTGATTTAATCTTTTCTTTTAGGTTCTCCTCTTGTGATATCCTTGATAGGTGCATTGTTACGAGACTTCCCTAATCGTTGGGAATACTATCTCAGACAGCTGCAGAATAAGCAGTTTAAAAGAATAAGAAAATCTTCATCATATGATTACGAAGCCCTTGATGAAGCAATGTCCATAAGTGTTGAGCAACTGAATGACAATTACAAAAACTACTATAAGGACCTCTCTATCCTCCCGAAAGATGTAGAAGTACCTACTAAGGTAATAACAGCAGTGCAGAGATCTTGTCATTTTTAGTGAGATACAAATAGCAACTTTCAAGAATGCATAAAATTTATAATTGTTGTGTATAACTTATGCTGTATTTAACTTAACAATGATTGCTAGATTAGGTGGATTTGGTCCATTATGGTGTCATGACTTGTATTGTTATAGTGAAACTAAAAAATCATAGCTTAATAAATGTATTCATAATGTTTAAGTTTAATGTGCATTCCATGTGTAGCTCTTTAATTAGACTGTAGTTGAGCTCACTGAAGGCTTAAAAACGGTTATGTGAAATATAGAGTTGGACTTGATGATCTTTGAGGTCATTTCCAACCTGGTTGATTCTAAGATATCACAGAATCACACAGAAATTTGTCTCCTTTAAGAAAAAGATATGATCCCTATAAATCAGCACATTTGTAATGCATCTGTATTTGTTAGTATGCATTTTATTGTCAGTCAATTGGTAGCCCTTTATGATATTCATAATTCATATTACAACTTAGTTCTGATTCTTTTCTCTGTTAATGTGTTCATTTTTCTTAGGTTTTTTGTATTCTTTGGGATATGGAAACTGAAGAAGTTGAAGATATACTACAGGAATTTGTTAACAAATCACTATTGTTCTGTGATCGTAATGGGAAATCATTCCATTATTATTTACATGATCTTCAACTTGACTTTCTCACAGAGAAGAATCGCAACCAGCTTCAGGTCATGACCTCTGTTGACTAATCTGCTTTTAACTCCACTCTCCAAGCTGGGCATTCTGCAGGAAGTGTTGCTTTGATAAATGATATCCCAGCAGCTTCATAGAACAGGTCCACAAAGCAGTTTAACTTAATGCTGACTAATTAAAAATACTTATTTGCAACTTGAAACTGTGGAGTGATTGATTTCATGATGGCTCCGTTTTAAGCTAAGAGGCTAAGCAGAGAAAACACCCTATATCCATTATTTCTCTATAATTCTTTATCTCTGGACATTTCTAGCAAAAGATACAATGTTCCACTGTTGATTACGAAGGCATCAAGGCCCTACCAGAATAGGAAGTTGCTTCTTTAAAGCAGAGAAGTGTTTTTTACTCCATTTTTCAATTTAAGGCAGTACTTGCAGGGAGAAGACCTAAAAGCTGGGCCCAATTAATTTATCATTTCCCAAGGACAGGTCAAAAAGAGTAGATATGAAGGAAAGGCAAGTTTTTAAATCAGTATGTGTAAGGATCCTTTTTTGTTGGCTAACCACATTTAATGTAAAGAGTGATTTGGTAGTTGTTTTCAACCTAAGAAGGAAGGTTAGCAGCTTCCTTTTCTGTCTTTTAATATCCAGAGAATGTTTCTGGAGAAGTCTTGAGCAATAAATTTGGTTAGGTGCACAGTTTTGAAAGGTTTTGTTTCATTTGTTGACATACTGTGATAGAATAATAATATTGTTCCTCAATAGTATTTATGATTAATATTAATAATACTTAGACTTCCTCAATGGTGAAACTAATCTATACCTTGGTATGCTATTAACTGAAAGTGTGTTTTTCTTCACATTGCAGGGGTTACATAAAAACATAGTAAATCAGTACAAGAATTACTACAAACTTAATATGCCTGTTCCATCTCAAGAGGATTGCATGTACTGGTATAACTTTCTGGCGTATCACATGGCTGGTGCCAACATGCAGGAGGTGGGTTCTGACTTGTGTCTTCTGTTTCCCTTCCTGACCCACTCCTTTCTCTGCTTGTCCCCCCAGGCCTTTTCCCACTTGCACCTCTCTTCCTCAGGCTTTTGTGCAGCTACATAAACACTCTATATTGAGTTCTTCAGGAGTTCCACTGACAATCACTGTCCGTTATGAAAACTGCTTTATTTCTGCCCTTCATATCTTGTCTTTTCAGTGAGTTCTTTAGAAGATTTCTTAGTTTATATCATAATAGTTTGTGTTTTTCTTTTCCCTTTTAAGAAGTTTTGATAAGAACTCTTCTCTAAACCTTTTTGAAAACCCAGGCTCGCTTTATTTTATGATAATACAAGTAAATTGATTTCTTCAGAGAATTTTATGAACTAGTTACTTTTTTCTTCAGAAATCTTATTAGTTTTTTCAACTTATGTCATACAGACTCGTATGTAAAAATTCATTATCTGATTTCAACAGCCACAAAAAGTCCATCAAGAGTTAGATGGGCAAATCTCTTATTACCAGGATTGCCTTGGCACCTTTAAGAACTTGCTGTCGTTTTTGCTGCCTCCTGTTCTTTAGATACTAAGCTGGTATAAGATGGAAATCATGCAGAAAGATTACTAATTCAGTAGTTTCACTTGAATTTGAGTTTCAGATGCCTTGAACTAATTGCTCTCTACCATGTCCTGAGCAGGGGAAGTGGAGGGGGAGGTGCTGAGCTCTTACTTCCTGGTCTGCAGTAATAGGACATGAGGGAATGGTGCAGAGCTGTGCCAGGGGAGGTTTTGACTGGACATTAGGAAGCATTTCTTTGCCAAGAGGGTGGTCAGGTACTGGAACAGGCTGCCTGTGTTAGGTTTTGGTCAGGCAGTTGAACTAGATGATCACTGTTAAGTCCCTTCCAACTGAAATATTATATTCTAATAATTCTATTTGCAGATTGTCTTTTTAAGTAGTCTTCTCATTTTTGAGTAAAATGCTGCTATAACAGATTTTATTGCTTTCGTTCAAATTCAGCATCTCTTACAAAGATCAACCATCACTAGAAGAAGCTTTTTCAGAGCTGTATCTTAAACCAGGTCTTTGTGCTACAAAAGTAAAGATTTGCTTTGTTCCCCCACCCCTTCTCCGATTAGCTGCATCAAAGAGTAGTCTTTTGCATTAAAATAACAAGCTTAGCCTTCTATACACAAAATTTTCATACCTGAAATTACCTAAGTTTTCAACTACAGACAGTTGTACCAAAGCATATTAAATGCCTAATGTATTTTCTGTGCTTCCCCCTCCCCCCAAGTAGATTCTGTTGTGAAACTTAGGCTCTGAACTTAAACTTGTATTTCTTGCAGGAGCTCCGTGATCTTATGTTTTCTTTAGATTGGATTAAAGCTAAAACAGAATTGGTAGGACCTGCTCATCTGATTCATGAATATGTGGAATATAGTTCAATCCTGGATCAAAAGGTATGATACTAAAAGGTAATTGATCAGTCTGTTCCAAATACATTTTTCTGTTTTGTAATTGCATTTTGTTGGATGTATAGAAGGTATATAGAAAGCTTAAAAAATTGAAACATAAACCCAATACTAAATTAAAGTTTAACTTGGAGGAGATAGAAAAGAAGGAAACTTAGTTTTAAGTTTCAGTTGTAACTTCAGTGTGTAAGTGATTGGCCATGGAACTCAGTAAGTAAAGTGATCAACAATACCTAGTGGTGGGTACATGAGGTACTCTGATTTTGAGGAGGTGTAGAATTCTGTTGGCCTCTTGGAGTAGTCTTTCTGATATTTCACACTGACTGCTTAGTGAGTAAATTACTGTTACCAGTATTCTTTATTTGAAAAATAAAAATATGCTTTCCTGAATAAGAATAATTAAATATTTATGTTTATTGTATGTACTTGGTGATAAAACTAAATAGAAAAATAGAGTTAAGTGCTTCTGTAAGAATTTTAGCTGTATAAAAAACTAAAACAGCAAAGCGCACTTAGGAAATAAATCCTAAGATAAATCTGTGTTATCAAATATTATCTGCTCTGTACTTAGGATAGCACAGTACGTGAGAACTTCCAGGAATTTCTGTCTTTAAATGGGCACCTTCTTGGGCGGCAGCCATTCCCTGACATTATACAGCTGGGTCTCTGCCAGCCAGAAACATCAGAGGTGTATCAACAAGCCAAGCTGCATGCTCAGAGAGAAACAGGGACATTCTATTTGGAGTGGATGTAAGTAGCTGCAGTCTATCTGCTGACCCCTTAATCCAAGGAAATCATTTAATGTACAACTAAATACAATGTATGGCTAATACAATGACCTTTGCAAGAACTGCTGGGTGTTTTTTCTGGAAAAAGAAAGTTAAATAATTTTCAAGAACTTGTGGGTGAAGGAGAACTCTGGATATGTAAGGCCACAAATTAGTAATAATTACATAGAAATAAATAGAGTAATATATTTATTCAATTACTGTTCCTTTTAAATTGCTTTATGAAGATGAAAATATGATATTTTGAAACTTTAAATATTTCTGAAGTTAGAATTGCATTGCAAGTATTGTGTACGTTACAGGATATTTTTAGGTTTTATATTAAAAGGTTTTTAAAAGGAGATAATTTGTGTTAACTTGCAAAATTTTTGAAAGTAGCAAGATGGAAAATGCTAAAAGGCTTTGTAATTTCTACCCAATCATGAAATTTCTCCTGTTTAAATTGTTCTTTGCTGTTACTGTATTTTTGTAAGTTGTTTGTTTATGAAGAAAGTATATATATCTAAGCATTTTCCCAGCAGAGTCCAATAGTTATCTCTCCATGGAACTCTCTTAGATTCTTCTGTTTGATGTTTCTCTTCTGATATTTGTAGTACTTGGTGATTACAAAACACTCTGCATCAAGCCATTATGGTAATAGGCAGATTAGTCTCCTCTTTGAATATTTGGTTGTTTCATTGCACACAGCTAACAGAATTCTGACAAAACTGCTTGGAAGTTGCACAGTTCACAAGAGTCAATGTCCAGTTAGATCAGGGTTTTCCCCCTTGGATGTAGGAGGCATGCTGAAGAGCATGAAAGAAAATAACAGAACAGACACAGATGTTTTGGTCATTCATCACCAAAAGTCATCTTATTGCAGTGACAGCTTTGGGTATGAAGATCTGGCTAAACAGGATGATTATGATTGCTGCTAACTCTTAAGTCTTGGTTAGAGTGAGGCAAGAACCATCTGCGGTGTATTAGATTCTGTACTTAATCTCTGATTGAAAAGCAATGATAGAGTGTATTTAGCTATCTAGTGATAACAACTGAGCCATTGCCATGAAAATTAAGTACATTTGCTAAGATCCAAACAAATTTGCAGATGTTCTTGAATAAACTTGAAAAGGGAGAGTTTTCTGCAGGAGAATGAGAATCCTCAGGAAGAAATTCATATTTGGCAATAGCACATATCAGATCATAAAAACATCATTATGAAGGCTGTGTCTTACAGCTTTGCCTGTAAAGCAGCACGTTAATTTATCGTGTGCATGTTAACTTTCTTGATCTCTAAGCTGTAACTGTTGAGGCACAATAAAAACTTCTGAGTGAATGTTGGAATTTGTGTTTCCCTTATTACTTCAGCGTGAAGGCTGAGAGGTAAAGTTTGATGGGTTGGTGTGTTTGTTTGTTATAAAGCTGTGTTTGCTATAAATGTGTGGAAAAGTGTTATATTTTGAAAGGCTTTTGAATAATAAAAAGGTACAAGGAAAGCCTACTCATCTAAACTCAGTTGTCTTATCCTGCAGCAATAAAAAATCCTTGAAAAACCTCTACCGTCTGGTTGTTCGTCCGCACAGAGATGCAGTTTACCATGCCTGCTTTTCTAAGGATAGGCAAAGAATAGCATCATGTGGAGCTGATAAAACACTTCAGGTAAGATACCAGTGCATGAGTGGAAAGAGATGCTGTGTACCATTTTGATAACATTTGTCACTTTTCTTTTGTTATGTGAAGATACTAGGGATCTAGAGCATAATTGGAGACAAACGGTTGAAAAGTATGTAAACATCAAGTGGCATGTTTAGATTAGTAAGCATTATATTTTTGTTCAAAAGCTATATTATGTGATTTTGGGTTTATACCCTCACTGCTCTAGTACCTGAATGTTAGATGCTGTTGTTGTTTAACCCCAACTAGCAACCAAGAACCACAGAGCCAGTCAGAGACTCCCCCACCAACGGGATGAGAGAGAGGATCAGAAGGGTAAAAGATAGAAAAACTCATGGGTTGAGATAAAGACAGTTTAATTGAGGAAGCAAAAGCTGCACACAAGCAAAGCAAAACAAGGAATTTATTCACTGATTCCCATGGGCAGGAGGTGTTCAGCCATCTCCAGGAGAGCAGGGCCCGTCACGCGTATCGGTTCCTTGGGAAGACATGACATCACTCCAAATGTTCACCCCTTCCTCCTTCTTCCTCCCACCTTATGAGCATGGTGTCCTATGGTATGGAATATCCCTTTGGGTAGTTTGGGTCACCTGTCCCAGCTGTGTCCCCTCTCAATCTCCCATGCACCCCCAACTCCCTTGCCAGTGTGGCAGTACAGAACACAGTGAAGGTCTTGGCTCTGTGTGAGCTCTGCTCACAATAGCTAAAACATCTCTGCATTATCAACCCTGTGCCCTGCAAAAATCCTAAACATAGCCCCATACTAGCCACTGTGAGGAAAGTTAACTCTACTTCAGCCCAAACCAGCACAGATGACTTTTAGCCACTGTGAGGTAACTCTACTTCAGCCCAAACCAGCACAGATGACTTTTAATGATGGGGAAAAACTGACAGCCTAAGCAATGCACCTCATCTTATTTAATGTTTGTTTGCAAGAAGTGTTATTTCCAGTCACAGTAGACCTTCTACAGTACCAAGAAGCAGTAAGATGTTTTAGTTACAGCTTTACTATTTATATGAGATGGTAATGAGCATTATGGCACTTAGGTTCTTATTTAGTAAAATGACTTTTAATGATGGGGAAAAACTGACAGCCTAAGCAATGCACCTCATCTTATTTAATGTTTGTTTGCAAGAAGTGTTATTTCCAGTCACAGTAGACCTTCTACAGTACCAAGAAGCAGTAAGATGTTTTAGTTACAGCTTTACTATTTATATGAGATGGTAATGAGCATTATGGCACTTAGGTTCTTATTTAGTAAAATGTCTTATGCAAAAGAAATATATCTGTGGAGAAAACCCCTGAAGCTGAGGACAGTATTAGAGTGGAAATGGGCCCAGAGTTTTTAGAAAGCAGATTAGGGGAGACAGAGAGAAGTGACTAATACAAATTTGCCAGCAGTCTGCCTGGAGGGGAGTCAGCCAGCTCTCAAGAAAACTAGCAATCAGTCAGCCAGTAACCTGGTAAAGTATCCATATTCCAGACAGCCAAAGGTAAGAGGAAAGAAAAACTGTTCTGCAAACCTTTGGTATTGCTTTCATGCTTGAGAAGTTGAGTACTAAAATAGTAATACCACTGTGGCTTAGTTGCTGTTCATTTGGCTATTTAATGTGTTGTTACTAGGTTTTATATTTGTTTATTTTATTTGCTGGCTTCTGCAGTGTTATGATTATGGCATCCACTTAAGGAGATGCCTGGTGAATGTACTCATTTTATGCTGTGCTGAAGTTACTGTGCTGAGCTTCTGTACTTAATGGCCTCATTATTGACACTGCAGATTGCTTTTTTTTTTTTTTCCCCTCTTAATTTTCTGCCCTAAAATTCTGTGGATTGTGATTGCATTTAAACTATACTTTTGTTGAAGAAGTAATAGGAAAATTAGCAACAATCCTTTTTTCATTAACTTTGAACTTATTAATGTTTTTTTCTAGTCATGGCCTAAGCTTTTCAGTTTTCAAGGCTACTTAAAAAAATTGCTAGATTAACAGATATTCTGCAGAATTTACTGTAATTGTAGATTTCCTGTTACTTCAATATTTATGTTCTTACCTGAACAAATACCATTTCATTGTCATTGATATTCCTGTTCAATGTAAAAGTAAAGGAAAAACCAGAGATTTTGCATTTGTAATATCCTGAACAGTGCTGTAAAGAACACCTTGTTATTTGCTTTAATAGTTAGGAATAGGTAATCTAAGATGGGAAGGAATACTTGATTCCTCCTTCCCCCCCCACATTGCAAAGCTAAATCTGAGAATTTGGAGAAATGATTAGTATGTGACACTTTCCTCCAGTTGTCCTTGTATTGCCTGTCTAGCTCCAGACTGAAACTTGTTTCATCCTGCGCAGTTTTTCCCTACTTATTTTTGGCTTTTGTTCCTCAAATCATCAATTGGTGCTGAAATTCTTACTTTCCACAGGATATCACATACATATAATTTATACTTTGTTAATAGATAGTGTTTTGCAGTTACTATTGAAAAACACTGCGGAAGGACATGGCTCTAGGCGTAAAGAGTGAGGGTAGAACAGAAATGCTTTTTGAAATCCGTTTTCATTATTTCTTTCTCTAAGAGTTTTTGTGTTCCTTGCAAAATTGAAGTGCAAATTTAGGTATTTTTATGGTTATGTTAATTTGCCTGAAATCATGAGTGCTTTCAAAAGGGAACCAGGTTTTTGAAGAGCTCACATAAAGAGAGCTGTTTGAGAGAAGACTGACTGGTACTTGTTTTAGAATTGTATGTAAGTTACAAGGTGTTAACTGTTTCTTGTTTTAGGTGTTTAAAGCAGAAAGTGGAGAGAGACTCCTGGAGATAGATGCCCATGATGATGAAATCCTTTGTTGCGCTTTCTCTGCAGATGGTGAATTTGTAGCAACTTGTTCAAGTGATAAAAAAGTAAAGGTAAGGGAATGAGGAGGAGTTTTTTTTCAAACTGATTATTCTAATTTCTGTTTAACTGATTCAGGCAGAGCAGATTCTTCTTAAGACTAAAGGTGTTTTAAACTGTCTTAAATCTTACATGGATAATTCAGTGCTTGGCAAACAGAAAAGCTCCACTTGTTGCATAGCAAAAAAGATGTTTAATGTTAACATCATACTTGCAGAATTGCCACTTGTTTTACTTGTATTATCAGATGATTCTTTTTAACTGGAACATAATGTTTGAGTCCAATCCTATTCATAGTATGAGATGAATGTATCCATAATTCTTTTTTAATGTTTTTTTTTTTCCTGTTATATGTGAAATATTTGGAATTTTAAATTCCTCATCATTGTAGCAAAATTTTGGTGAAATTCCTGTATTTATCAGATTCTAATCTGCATTGTGACCTCTTCCCTCATAACTTCTTGTTTCTTTTTGCAATTATGTATTCTTCAAAACATTTTTGAGGTGTTACTAAGAATGTCTTAGGTCTTTATCTGTATTTCAGCATTGTTTCCAGATTTTTAAAAGTTAATTAGATGCACTTAAAAGTATTTTTCATCCTTCAATTCTGTCTAGATTTGGAATTCAAGAACAGGCCAGTGTAGGTGTGTATATGAAGAACATTCAGAGCAGGTCAATTGCTGCCAGTTCAATAACAGGAGTGGTCAGTATCTTCTAGCCACCTGCTCAAATGACACTTTCATCAAAGTAAGTGGAAAAGGTTGAGATTATTCTCATGCTGCTTGTCATAACAGGATAATTAGTGATGTATAAATATCTTTAAACTTCTAATGAGTCTGGTAAAGGAGACATGGCAACAGATTAAAAGTACTGACTACAGCTTTGTAATCAGATTTCAACAAGGCAGTACAGGAGTGTTTATACTCAGCAGAGGAGAATGGCCAAGTCCTCTAATGGTAGGGCATGAAGGTAAGAGCTTTGGCAAGACTTCAAGAGTGGAATGGGAATATGGGAGTCAAATACCTGATTAAAAACAGCATAAGAGAAAATGAAGGCAGAAATTTATGATTGAAAACATGAACAATGTAAAAAACTGGGTGATGAAAGATTAGAGGGGAAAAAAGCATTATTTAAGTGTAGCAGGGACATTTTTTTGATTAAATTGATTGGGTGTAGTAAAGAAATGAATATGGAAGCCAGCAAAACAACAATAATCAATGCAGAGTTCTGTCAGGGTAACTAGCTTGCACTGTTCAGATTGGGGGGCAGTATGTATAGCCAGAAAGAGCAGAAAGCTGAAGTGTGCATGTGAGGAAAGGGGTAAACAGAAGAATCAAGTAAGACCTACGTGCTGTCAAATAAAGAGTGTAATTTCACAGTACAACTAAGCAAATTGCCCTGGCTGCATATTCTTGCCTTTGAGACAGTGCACATGCTTGTCTTATTTTGCAGTGGCATGAGACAAGGAGCCAGCTCTGCCAAAGCCTCTGTTTGGTGGATTTGGTTTTCTGCTCATTTGGTTCCCTGTAGTGGCTCAGTTGCCCAGTTTGAGTGCAGGAGAATTGCTGGGAGTAGACAGCAAGGATTGCCAGAGGCAGGGGCTACTGTGAGTTCTAGCTGTAGCAAGCACTTGCAGTTGTGAAGACTCATCTGAAGAATTCTTGCAAGAGCTTGTGTTTGTGTGACCTGGAGATAAAATACAGTTATGGTGCTTCAGAGTGGAAAGAAGAGGCCGCCTTTGCTGGTCTCCTGAATGTCTCAGGAGATGCATTTACTGTCTGGGTCTGCCACTTTGGAACAGGTAGATTTAGAAGGGACTTGTTTAGAATGACCATTTTTATACCATCATGGTGCTTAAGATTTTAGGCCGTTTGATGCTTTGATAAGTAATGAATAACAGAATTGAAGTATGCACAATAATCAAAAGGGCCTCATTGATTTTCGGAGAACACTCTACAAGTGATTGTTCTTGTTTTGAACTCTCACTTGAACACTCAGTTGCATTTTTTTTTGTTACAAATAGGAGACATGAAGTGTAGGATATAAGCTTGGAAATCAGTGGGGAGGAGGAGCCCTAAACAAAAAAATAAACGTGTGAAATCTTATTTTAACTTTGTTAGCATGGATGTGGCAAGGATGGTATTCAGACTGTTCAAGACTAACTTGGAAGATTTCCTTTTTGTTAGTATGTGTAAGCTACATAATTCTGAACTTTGGAGGTGAAAGAGGCAAGATAAACCTTCCTCAGTTTGAGGAAACTTTCAGTAACTTTGTGGTGTTCAAGGGCCTTCTCTGCACTGTGCACAAAGTTTAATTAGTTATATGTAATTCTGATGTTAACAGCTTTCTTGCATGTTAGCTGATAGAGGTGAATTTTGGGGTAGCCTGAGACATAGCATCCAGGCTGTGAGCATGTGGCTAAAACTAAGGAAAAAAGCATAATTTGAAGTTTTGCTTGCCAGTGCATGATTTTGAGAAGAGCGTGAACAGTCTGTCTTTGAGTAATTCATGAATATGGTATTTATATGTTTATTTCTGTTGCAGCTTTGGGATTTGAATGAAAAGTACTGTAGGAATACGATGATAGGTCATGAAAATTCCGTCAGTCACTGTAGATTTTCACCAAATGATGAATATGTTGCTAGCTGCTCAACAGATGGAACAGTAAAGGTATGCAGTGTATTTAAGTCAGCTGTTTGTTTTGATGATGTATGGGGTGTTTAAATAAAATGCAAGATATGCATAACAAAATTTTGTGTCTGCATGATCAGCTTTAGTGGATTAAATCCTGAAACAGTTGATTATTGGTCCCATTTTATTGCAAGAGTTTGAAATGGCTTGTCCAGTACCATGCAAAAAGTGTTGGCTGCCCGTAGTTTCCCCCCCCCCCGCCCCCCCATGCACATGGTTAAGAAAACTTGAGGTGGGAGTGAAAGTAGAAACAAGTTTTTAGGTTAATTAAAAGTTCTGTCATCTCTGAAAATAAATCATCAGGAGAGGTAAAAATTGAAAGCAAATTCTGTGTGCTGTTTTCATGCATGCAGTCGAAGAAATAGGTTGGATTTTTCCTTTTTTTTTCCCCTTTTTTGTTTTTCTTTTTTATCTAAACTGTTTGTACTTGTGAATATTCTAATGCTATTCATTGTCTGGGGAAAGTAGCAAAGGCTCTTTTTATGTTCTACTCCCTCCCCCTCTTTTTTCCTAGGAGTAATTGGGAGTTAGCTCTACCCTGTTGTATTCTGTACCTGCATCAGTGACAAGAGATTTTGTGTATTTCTTTTTCATTGTAGCTTTGGGCAGCATGCTCAGGAAATGAACTGAAAAGTATTGAGATAAAAGATTTCTTCAAAAATGCAGATGAGCAACCAGATGATGTGGAGGTTTTAGTAAAATGTTGCTCTTGGTCCAGAAATGGTGACATGCTATTGGTGGTAGCCAAAAATAAGCTTTTGGTAAGTACCTACTTCAGTGATTTTTTTGGTTGTAGTATATTACAATACAGGTGGAAATTATGGTTAAAGATAAAATTCCAGGCCTTAAAGGTGTTTCCGATATAACTATGTTTCTGCATGGTTTCAAGTGTGTGTAAAATGAAAATATTGGGCAACAAACTGGTGACTGAGAGAAATACCTTCCAAATTTAATCAATTTGTCAATAGTGAAGTCATTCAAACTGGGTGCTAACTATTGTAATTATGTGTTCACAGCTTTTTGATATTGAAACATGTGGTTTGTTAACACAAGTCGTTGTAAGTCATCATGGTACAATCCAATACTGTGACTTTTGTCCTGGTGGTGAGTTAGTAGCAGTTGCTTTGTCTCACTGTTCTGTTGAGGTAAGTGATTGCAGTACACTGGGAAAGACTACTTGTAATTTAAACTGTTAAATTTATCCTAATAGTTTCCTGTATACAGAGATAAAACAAATACAACTATTTTAGCATATGCTTCATTCTGTTTAATTTTCATTTGCTTCTGAAATATAAAATATCCATTGAGAAATAGTGTTTTAAAGTTACCCATTCATTTTGGACAACAGAAGTCACATTTATATAACAAGACTAGACTACTAAATTTATTTAAAGTTACTGTTGTCACTCTCAGGAGTATTGCTTAACTCAAACCAGACCAAGCTCTCTCTTCCTGCTGGTACAGACTGTGGCAACTTAATAAAAAGGAATGAAATGTCTAGAATAACTTTGGGACTAGCATGGCTAGGGTAAGCTTGTACAAATACCAGGTTTGGGGTTGGTTTGGGTTTTTTTGTTGATGTTTGGGGTTGATTTTTTTTTGTTTTGCAGTCCATGTGGTCAAGTTGAACTTGCTTGGGGTTTTTTTATGCTGTCTGTGATTTTTTTCTATTCTTTTTTCCCCCCCATTGTCTTTTAAAATTACAGCAGTCAGAGGCTGCTGATTCAAGTTCTCTGTTGAAATGTGATAAGCAGGCACATTTCTTGTTATGCCTCATTTCAGAATAAGAAGTAAGAGAACAGTAGAGGACATAGTAATAGTAAAAGTATAGTGCTTGTTTTGCATTGTTTTCCCTGCAAATGCAATCTAAATCCATTTGAATTCTTCTTTCTTATTTTTATTGTAGTTATGGAATATTAAATCTTTATCAAAAGTGGCATATTGCAGGGGACACATGAGCTGGGTTCACTGTGTGACATTTTCACCAGATGGATCTTTATTTCTGACATCATCTGATGACCAAACAATACGTGTAAGATGACTTCTTTCTCTTTTGAAAAATGTGAATATGCATATTAATTTAAGGAGCTGTATATTGTACATACACATGCAAATATACTTATATATTAAGTATATATGTTTATAGCCAATATAAACTTAAATATTTGTTTTAAAACTATAAAATTATTCACACATATAGTACTATGAGGACACTTTTTTGCTTTATTGATGTCTTATCTAAATTTCCTGTATGTCTAGATGACTTTTTTAAGTCTGGTGGCTCTTCAAGAGTAATTGTAACCTTCTGTTTTGTTTTAGGTTTTATCTGAACTGGGAATTGTGAAGGTTTTTGAGGATCCTAGCAGACTTGATACTAGTTTCATTGTTAGCTATATTTACCTGTTAGTATTCAGGATAGATTTCTGTAATTGTAATGCCTCATTAAGACCTGTGAAAGTAGAGCTAGAATTTACCAAGCTAACCTTGCCTTTTCTCCCAACTTAATACTTATATTGAAATTTTGAAAGCAATTTAAGTATAGAAACCTGGACTTGTTATTTTTTGCTACTGGGTTTCAATGCTTTTCTTTGGATTAGAAAACTGTGGACTTTATAGCTTTGACTCTAAACACAGGGGAGTCTAGTAGTGACCTTGAAAAAAATAGTTCATCTGTTGAAATCGCTATACTAATTGCACAACCTTCCCTAGTGTCAAAAATAGCAGAAGCAAAATAATTTTCACTGTTTAAGAAAAATGAGTGTTACTTGCAAGTTTATAAGCATTTGGTTTACAGGTACTCCTACTCAGCAAGTTTTAAAACTTATTCTTTAATAAAGCTAATGAAATGCTCTGTTCTTCAACAGATTTGGGAAACAAAGAAGGTGTGCAAGTCTTCTGATGCTGTCCTGAAAAGTGAACTAGATGTTGTATTTCACAATGGTGAAGTGATGATTTTAGCAATTTACAATCAGAAGCATTTACAAGTAAGCTGTATTTCTCAATATGTCAGTACATTGGAATGTTACCTGCAAATCTCAGTAGGAAACCAAGGAAGCACTGAAGAGCTGCTTGTTCGTGGCTTGTAACAGTGAAATCTGTAGCAGATGACTCAATGTATGATAACATTTTTAATCTAGAAACTGCCTAGTTTAGTATGTGAAAAATGGAGTTTGAGGGGAAGTTTCCACACTGATGTTGAAACTGAAGCTGGATGCAGAGAAACAGAACTCTTCTCCCTTTGTGAGTGTGGAGGCTGTGGGCCCTCCAAGCGGCTTAGATGTGCACAGCAATGTGTAATGTGTGCAGCACGTATGGACCACATGTTACACAGCACATACACATAATGCATCAGAACTCCTGTCAAATAGCTGAAGGAATTATCTCAGATTGAGGCAGTGAAAGGTGTGAACCCAGGACTGCCTATAGCCTTAGATTTGTGCTCAAGAAAATAGTAGTAGTGGGTGCACTCTTATTACTGTGGACCCAACCAAATGCTAAGTACACCAAGAGCCAAAATATATTTTCCATTCCATTTCCATTCCGTGCACGTCATCTTTTTTATCGTGATTCTATAAGACATCAAATAACGTCACTTAATAGGATTTTCATCTACTGCAGTGAAGAGCTGGAAGAAGCCACAGCAAATGGAGTTATACCTATTTATGTGCAGTAATAGTTCAGGATATTTGCTGCTTTTTAACCTGCCTGAATTGTAACATCTGTAGCTGCTACTATGTGATGGTGTAGTCTGCCTCTCATTTGAATTAGTAGATCTGATCTATGTATTTATGATTAGTGTATGTCTGTTGTAACTTTACTTGAGCCATTTCATAGAGGAAAATGGTGCTTAGATACTCTGCCCTAAATATAATATTCTGACAACCTGTAGACATACAGTCATGACAGAAGACTCCATTGTAGAAAGAGAATAGATTTTTCACCCTTGCACAAGAAGAGAAATTGACTGAAAAGACAAATTGCAGTTAGGCATGTGTACGGTGATTTAACAGTGTGTTTCTGCTATCACATCTCTCAAAGTTTTTCTTGCAGCCATGTTGTTTAACCTTTTGTAACTTTGTAGTCTCTCAGAACTTCAGTCCTACTCACCCTTTGGATTGCAATATGTTAATTTTTAAACACTTCACGTTGGTAGCTTTCTTAACGTAAAATTTGTTTGTAAATTGTTGTATTCTAAAGATTTTTTTTTTTCCGCTGGAGAATTGGTTTGAGGGTGATACTGAGTTGAGATTTGGTGTACTGTATGTGCTGTTAAGTTTAAAATCACGCTTAGAGGATGCTCTTAAAACATTTTATGCTCCATTTGGCATGAGCTATATAATCTGACTGGCACTGTAAATTTGAGCCTGAAGCTTGCTTTGGTATTTGGGAGTAGCATTTTGAGTTCCTGTTTCCTGTAGCCAGACAAACCTTAGAAAGCCTTCTAATACTGAGATGAGTTTCTTCTGCAAACTTATCCTGTTTGAGAGGATTCAATGGAGATAGTTACACTGACCTTCAAGGCAAGTGACTTATGAAAGTAACTGATACTTATAATTCCAAGTTTGGAACTGGTATGCTGTTCCCTTTGGGATTCTTAGCTCTGTATTGTAATTTACTTCAGTTTAAATTTTAAAATTTGGAATAACTTAATTAACTTCCTATCTTACAGCTTATCAATGGAAATACAGACAATGTTATTATGCAGACGGCAGCCCAAGAATCCCCCATTTCCTGCTGTTGCTTAAGTGGAGATCTTAAATTTGCAGCTTTTGGACAGGAGAATGGAACACTAAAGGTATTAAATCCTAAATTTGATTTTTAAAATAGTAGGAAAACACTCATCTTGATGCTTTTTATTTCTAAATAAATGTCTTTTGGATGACTTTGTACAATAACATTCTTCAACATAGTAATTCAAAGTCTTTACATTTGTGAGTGATGCCTAAATTACAGTAATTTAGTGGTGGTGCTAATAATCTAGCTCTGAATTTCATTTTACCAAGACTAAGCTAATAGCAATTTTTGGTTGTTCCAATCCAATGACTGAGAATCATGTATTTACAATCTCATGTTATTTAAAAAAGAATTTGCATGTTCTTGTTCTCCTCCAGTATGTCAAATAAATACAATTATTGAATTCCTCATTGTGAAGGTACTGCAGTTGTCGGATGGGAAAGTTCTGAAGTCCTGGGAGGCCTACAGGATATCTGTGCAGCACTGCCAGTTTACATCTGATTGTCAGACTCTCATTTCAAGTGCTCACGATTCAGTTATACAGGTTTGGAAAATACTTGAAAAGTTTATGTTGTAACTTACTTAAAGAGTTTTTATACTGTAGCTAATGTAAATTCAATAAATGGCTACTGTATTCTCTATTGCTCTCTTGGGGCAAGGACTGTAGAAACCGTAGCCTTTATTTATACCATGTGTGATAGTGAATATTACACATTTTCTATTTTTACTGCTGTGGATGCTGGAAGAGCACCAGCTGCTTTGAGAAGAGTGAAAGGAACATTCATTGTCAAACAAGATAACTCATCAGTTCTGAAGTGAGGGTTTGGGATGCATCCCAGAACTAGTTCTGTGTGGTGGGTCTGTCAGTAGGTTTGCTTACGCTCTCTCAGGGAATGAGGTAAAAAAGCTGTCTCTGAACAGGCTAGTGTGCCCACCTAGTCCAGTGCTGAATACAGATACTAGCCACTGGCTGCACTAACGTAGTCTCAAATGAATAACCTCTGCCTCTCAACAAGATAGATTGGCTCTGCAGATACATTCTGGTGTGTCTTGTGTTAGCATTTTAGCTCACCTCAGGGATACACTTTGGAAGTGAATGTCCTTGTCCTTTATGCTTACTGTGCTTTAGTTTGCACTGCAGAGCACTTGCAGCATGCTGACAGGATTCCTAAACTAGAGCATGTGGTCCAGCTGCTAATGAGCATCCAGTCCACACAACCAAACTTTGAGTTTGAAGTAAAACCTCCAAGACACTTATGGCTGCTGGTCCTCAGCTTTGGGATCCTCCTCTCAGGTCTAACGTGGGAAGCTTCTCTGCTGGGAGCTCAGCTCCCTCTAGTGGGCAGTGTCCCAGTTAAACCTCCGGGATTGAACGCTGCTGCTTTCTGCTCCTCTTTGCTGCAGGAAACCTGTTAAATTGAAAACTCTTAAATCATTGTCGTTTAAAATAAATTGATGCTTAATAGCTTCTGTGAAACAAAATGGCACATTCATTTTTTTTTTTAGTGAATAGTTGAATTAAAAATAGATGTTTCATTTTGTTGTAAAAATGCAAAGCAAAATGGCATTTCATTAAAATACCCTTTCAAATATAAAAGCAAGTTAATTTAAGTAGGCAAAATGTGTGGTCTGCTAAATGAAATAAGTCTTTTTGTTGCAATAATCAAAGTTTAAAACCCCAGAATTCAGAGGTGCCTGAAAGTTACTGGGTAGCTTTCTCTTTTTAAATTAGCAGTGAATTTTAAGCATCAAATTCACTTTGAAAATCAGATTATATGTGTATTATAGGGAACTCTGGCATAGTTTGGCTATTAAATACTATGGCATCCTCAATCTTCAGCATCTCTACTATGGATCCCTTCAATATCTAAGATTTTAATTAATTGCCACCACCATAAGTAATCTTTATTACTCTTGTGACTTAAAAATCAATCAGTTAGTTACTTCATTCTTCTTAATTTATGTTTGCTGCTACCATTTTTCTAAAAAAAGTATTTCATGTTTCTGATTAGGTATGGAATTGGCAGTTGAGTGAATGTGTGTTTCTAAGAGGGCACAGGGAAGCAATCAAGGATTTTAGACTTCTGGAAAATTCAAAACTTCTCTCTTGGTCATTTGATGGAACTGTTAAAGTAAGTGAAATGATAAATTGCATCAAAAACACTTTGTCTCTTGTAACATTTGGTATTTCTTGCTCTTTGTGTGGATATGCATTTATTGAATTGATCATAAAGTGTAAGCTGACTTTTTAGACAAAATTTTGCATTTTCTATTTTTAGTAAGATTTACACTGTTGTTGTATTTTAGCTATAACAAAATGTTGGCCATATTAGAACTGTCTAGCTGAGTTTTGTCTCTTATATATTGTTGTATAAATTGCAAGTGTTGTAACTTTTTTACCATGTTACAAAACTAAGCTGTTTTTCCTGTATATTTGATAGGTTTGGAATATCACTACCGGAAACCCAGAAAAAGATTTTGCTTGCCATGGAGGTACTGTTCTTTCCTGTGCTGTTTCACCTGATGGTACTAAATTTTCATCTACTTCTGCTGACAAAACTGCAAAGGTTGGTTACCTTCTGTACAAAGATAAAAGTGATGCCTTGTTTGTCCTGAAATGTAGTCGATTTTTTATTCTGAGGTAACTAGTGATTATCTGAGTTATCCTGTAGTTCTAGTGTTAAATGTCTTGTATCCATCAACATGTTTCCAAAGCTGTTAGTCATTCACAATTGATCTTGGATGTAACTTGAGGCTGTCCTGATGACTTCTGTACAAATAAAATGCACGTTTAATGCACAGTTTTGTGCAGAACACTTTTAGTTCTCTGTATCGATTTGTTAATAGCCTGTTATGCTCAATTTTTAAAGTTTAGAAAAATCTGTGAAACTTTCAGTGAAAGTGCTGTCCATAGGTTATGGTATTCCTGCTCAGAAATGAGGTGAACTGAGGCTGCTCCATTAGATTTTTAAGATATAACTTTAAATTGATTGATTTCTATGAACAGCTTTAAACTTCCTTGTAAATTAATCAGTTTCAGTAACAAGTATGCTTCAAGGAAAGGTGTGTACTCTTGGTCACTTCAGTAATTTGTAACAACTTCATTCTTGTATGATTCAGATAATAAAAAGAAAACCAGACTACAGTATGTAAAGCATTTACATAAATGCACAAACACATCTACATATATATAAAAAGTCTTATGTACATCTGAATGCTAATGCCTTCCAGAAAGGTCTTGAACTTGTCTTTTTCACTTGCTCTCTACTGTTTTCCATTTAGATATGGAGCTTTGAAAGTTCATCTGTTCTTCATGAGCTGAAAGGCCACGAAGCCTGTGTGCGGTGCTGTGCGTTCTCTCCTAATAACAAATTATTGGCCACTGGAGATGACAAAGGAGAAATAAGGGTACTGCTTTCATCTTGATGTTTATTTTATCATTCAGTTGATAGTCAGTTCACAGACAGAAGAGTTCTTGTAGTTTGTGTCCTGCATGTCTAATTTCGTTAGCATTCCAGTGAACATTAGGGCCTTGAAAAGAAGCAAAGTTTGCCATGTGAGGCAGTACTTTGTAGCCATATTGATAGATTTATGTTCCATGAATGCTAAGGAATTGATTCACAAGATTTGCTAATAATTCTACTGTGAATTGCATGTGTGATTACATCCTCCATGTGTGATATAGGTCTAAGAGAGATATTCTGGTTTTTTAGTTATTTTGTCACTTCAAGTGTCTAAGAGATCTGGTTTTTTAGTTATTTTGTCACTTCAAGTAGAATGCAGGTTTAGGTCTAAGAGAGATATTCTGGTTTTTTAGTTATTTTGTCACTTCAAGTAGAATGCAGGTTTACAAGGGGTTTTTCTCTAATATTGAAAAATATTTCAGGTTTCCTTATTTGAGATTTTTTTTCTCCAATAAGTTTACTTATATATATAATCTTTCCTCTCTTTTTAGTTATTTTGTCACTTCAAGTAGAATGCAGGTTTAGGTCTAAGAGAGATATTCTGGTTTTTTAGTTATTTTGTCACTTCAAGTAGAATGCAGGTTTACAAGGGGTTTTTCTCTAATATTGAAAAATATTTCAGGTTTCCTTATTTGAGATTTTTTTTCTCCAATAAGTTTACTTATATATATAATCTTTCCTCTCTTTTAGATTTGGGACATTTTAACGGGTGCATTACTTCACTTCTGCTCCCCAGTAACTGTAGACGAAGAACCTACACATGGGGGTTGGGTAACAGACCTCTCATTTTCTCCTGACAGCAAAATGCTTGTGTCCTCTGGAGGCTATCTTAAGGTGAGCCATGAAGTAATAAAGCATCCTAACATACCTAATTAAATGGCAATACTCTGATAATTCTAAAGGAAAACAAAGACTAATTCAAAGAAACAAACCGGAAACATGTTTCTTAACATGGAGCTGCTTTGTTTTTGTGACTGTCCAGCACTTTTCACTTCTCTTCTTTCTCAAATCTGCAAGTCCTCTGAAAAGATCTCTTAAGAATTCAGGCTTAGGGTTTGCTTTCAAACTCCATGTATTCCATTTTTATTAGGTTTGGATTTTTAGTAGCAATACTAAAGATCCCAGTCATTTTTGCCTGCCTTAATATCCACTCAGTTTTGGCAGTAATTGTGTTGTTTATAATGTCCAGAAAAATTCTCTACATGAGGCTTTTATTTTTGTGAGGTACTGTGGTTTAAGTTTTGTCATAAGTAGAAATTCAGAAAGAATCGAATGAAGTGATTGAAAGACATTCTATAAGTAATCTTTTGAAGAGGGCATGTTGAAACTGAGGAAATCAGTATTTTCATCAGTCTTTCACTGGTTCAAGCATCTACTGGACATGTTTTTTGGGAAGGGGAAGAGGTGATCCTTCTTTTAGTCTGTGAATGGATTCTTTATAATTGTAAATATCTCACGAGGTTTTGTGTTGGGGTTTTTTTCCCCTCATGTGGTGGCTAATACTCTGTGTATGTGAAATGGCAGGTGGTGAAGTTCCCACCTCAGAGTGATGGAGGTTAGTTGATTGTTGGTTGGTGTCTAGCTGTTGATCATGCTATTAGACTAATTCTTTGAAGTCTGTCAAGTAACCAAAGGCAGTGGAATTTACTAATTTAGCTTTGAAAGCATTGTCTGATGTTCATTTCATACAAAAGTACAAGTCATGCTTTCCATTTCTAGCTTCCTTCCCATTTTATTTTATGTTTTCACAGTATGGTGTTGTGATGTTTCTTGGAGTCATAGAATGGTTTAAGATGTTAGGGCCTTCTGGAGCTCATCTAGTCCAGCCCATTGCTAGAAGCAGTTTTCAGAGTTAGGTAAGATTGTTTAGGACCTTGCCCATCAAGTATTGTCCCCCAGTCCGACAGGGTCACACTGAAAGGAGAGTCTGTCTCTGTCATCTCTTCTCAGCAGTTGAAGACAGCAGTTAGCTGCCTAAACAAATCCAGTGCTCTGTCTCCTATGACATCTGTTCTAGATGTCTAGACATCTCAGTGACCATGTGCTGGACTTGCTCCAGTTTGTCAGTGGTTCTTTCATTTGTACTCAGGTGGGACTCAACACACAGTGACCAAACTGGTGGTTACTGCATTTTGAACCTAGCAGTCCGCTCAGTTTGTTACCCACCTTGTATTCCACCCATCCAGTCCTTATGTCTCCAGTTTGACTATAGAGACAATATGGGAGACCATGCCAAAGGCCTGGTTAAAGTCAAAGTTATTCACATTCTTGCCATGCTGTTTGGAGGGTCACCATTATTGTCAGCAGAAGCCAGTTGAGTGGTTCAGCATGATTTACCGTTGGTACATCTGTGCTAGTTGCTCACAATCACATCCTTGTTCTTCATATGACTTGAAATGGCTTCTAGAAAACTTGTTCTGTAATAATCCCAGACACTGGAGTGAAGGTTACTGACCTGTAGTTCCCAACCCCACCTTTGCTCTTTGTAAAAGTGAGGATAGCATTTGCCTTTTCCCAGTCACGGAAAGTCTAAAACAATTCAGAAGTCCAGACCTCTGAAAACTGGGCTGAGTTGGACTCCAGAGTTGTCTTATTCATAGCTGAAGTGTATGAGCTATGTACTGTTGAACTTGGTGTGTGAGTGGCACCCACTGGCACAGCACCTGATCCATTATCCATTTATTAAGAGCTAATTAAGACCCATTTTTGGTTTGGGTGGGGTGTTTTGGTTTTTTGTTTTGTTGGGGTTTTGAGGGTTTTTTGATTGTTTTTTTTAATTGTGTGTCTCCATCAAATAACAGATACTTCAGGAACAGTGTTTTTAATCAGAACATTATAGCTGTGTAGTTGCAAATCTGCATTATGCACACAACTATGTTACATATTTCATGAGATGAGTAAGCTAAAAAGTAGTAATACCATCTGCTTTTCTAGATGATCAAAGCTGAAGGTAATCTGTTGTGATATTTTCCTGCTGCACTCAGATGCTGCAAGAATAGAGGATAGACTTGTTACTGGCACAATTGAATAACAACTTTGTGCTAGATTCTGTGTGGGTCGGTTTTGCATTGGTCTATAGTTTTTCTGAGAAATTTCAGACTACATTCATGGAGTACACTGATGGTTGAAGGTTTCTCAGTTTCTTTGCTATTAGTGCTTACTGCGTATTCTAAAAATTAATAATTAGAACTTCTAATCTCACTGAAAACAAAGTCTGTCCTGCTAACAAAACTGCAGTTGGTTTCAAATGCATATGTGATGCTCATGTGAGTTGAGCTAAGTTTGGTAATGCAGCTGTAGTTTCAGTTGTCTGGCAATGTTTCGTGTATTTATTTGGTTATATAAAAATGCATGTTTTTTTACAATTTGGACATATTACGGTTTACATCTATGGATTGCATTTTGTGATGGGGTAAGGGGCAGTATGTGAACTTATTATTTTGTATGCTTTCTTGAAATTGAACAGCTTTAGTCTTTTTGAAATTTCTTTTCAGCTCAAAGTCTTATAACTCTAGTAATTTGTCCTAAACTTTTTCTACTTTCTATCTCTTTGGTGAAAGCTGTCAGCTGGGCTTGCCATGCTAAGCCTGTTGAGAGATTTATTTTTTTTTCTAAGCTCCCTTCACCTAACTGACTGTGTGTTATTATTTTTTATAGTGGTGGAATGTAACTACTGGAGAATCCTTACAAACCTTCTACACGAACGGAACAAACCTTAAGTCAATACATGTGTCCCCTAATTTCAAAGTGTATGTGACTGTTGATAATCTTGGTATTCTTTATGTATTACAGAAATTCTGATTCATGTGCTGAACAGTGCAAAGAGAACTCATTTTTTAAGCTGGAAATACAGCTCTGCTAAATGTTTGACTGACACTCCTAAAGCTGTGAATTATATTTCATTGTTGTATTCATGATGTTTTCATGCATATTTGTGTATATTTATGCATGTTTTTTCAGATGAAATTACATTTAATCATGTTTTTAATAAGCATTATTATAATCCTTAAATCTTGATCTGCATCTTAAGTAAGTTGCTTCCAATTTTTAAAGGAAATTATATTAAGATTTATTCAAATTAGTTGAATAATATGAATAGTAGTGAAGAAATAATAGGGCTATAATACTTTGAAATTATGTTTTGTGTTAAGGCTGATGGCTAAATGCTCTCTAGCCATGAGCATAATTTGGTAAGATGCAAACATTTTTTTCTTACTGTGATGCAAGGACTTCTACATAGTGCAGAATGGAAAGAAGAGGGGAATTCTTCACTTGCAAAATGAAACTAGCATCTTGGTGCTTGATATTCAAACCAAATTAAGTAGCTGTTCCATTTACAGCAGCAGTGCCTCCCACTCGTGGGACAAACCTTCTCGCTTCAAACCTGTGGAGATGAAGTGCATTGTAACACATAGGAGCTGTTCCTATTAAAGGGAACATCCTGAGACTTGTTTTCTCAAAACAAAAATCTAAAAGGATATTGCAACTGAAGTAGAAGGGATTATGCCACATTTCCAGTCAAAGGATGAGTACAGCTAACCAGCTAAACTGAGAGTGGAAATGGCTAAAAAGTTATATATTGAGAAATATAAGAAAGTGTGAGTTTTATAGTTTGATTTTTTTTTTTTTTTCCTTTGAACTTAACATTCAGTTTGTACTATGGAGATCTACTGTTGTCAGCTTTGTTTACATGGGATTCTATACCCAGTGACCTCTTGCCTGGTAATATGTGATTTTTAAAAGAAATTTTTTTATTTAATTTTTACAGTCTCTTTATAGATTCAGTATAGGGTAAAAATTCTGATGTTTTGTACTAATTATAATTGACATGTCTTTTGTGCATACTTTGGTAAAACTTTTTCTTGGGTACCTAGTAAGCCTTTTTGTATTGCCTCTCAACTGCTGTGAGCAACTGCAGAGGCATTAATACCATGATTTTCATATTTTTGTAGCTGGCAGTAGAACACACTGTCTAACTACTTGATTGTAAAACATGCAGTAGCAAGTATCTCAACTGATACTGAATAATGAAATGACCACTTTTAGTATTTTTTGTGTGCATCTCAGAAGATTTAGTATACATTGTTAGTATTGCCTGTTTTTTGACAATCATCAATTTTTCCTCTTTTTTTAACTTGAAATTCTGCTGTTTCTAAGGTGCTATTGAATACGGGTCAGTATAATCAAAGTACTGCTGGCAGAAGTATAAAGAGAAGAAATTCAATAGAAAAGATCATGATATTTTGTATTCTAAGTATGCATAATACTCAATAAAGATAAACCAGGTAATATTGGCCAAAGTTGTAAATGAATTTGAATTCTTGAGTGGTTTTTTATACATGGTAGGAGGAAGAGGGTTTGGTGCCTGTTTTATTGTCATTTATTGTGGTTTTATTTTCAATCTAAACATAAGGCTGCTGTACAAACTGCATCAAAAATACTTTGACAGGTGAGTAACAGTATTAAATATGAGCATGGAAGAAAAATGGAACAGAGGGAAACTGAAGCCTTGGAACATGTCCTGCAATGTTCAGCACAGAGTTGCTTCTACTGCCTAGTTTGTACACAGGCCCATCAGTACCCCCTGAATAGCTGATGATTCAAGGAGCAGGAAACTCCTCTTAGCCAGTATCCCTCGATCCCAGCAACTGTGCTGTCCTGACTGCACAGGACCCTGTTGGTCTGAGCTTAGAGATTCAACCAGGTTGAAAGATACAGGATAAATGGTTCCCAGGAACCAGGGCACAAAGTTGTCTGTCTTCTGTGAGAATGCTAATGAAATGCTGATGATAGCAAAAACTGATCATGGTTTACTGAAGAAAGTGAGTGGTGCATGAGCAGAGTTTGTAGGCAATTGTAATTTTGAAGCACGTATGAAGTAAGTAGCACAGAAACTTGAAGAAATGTGAGATAAATACTGTGGTTTTGGATTGTTCTGCAAGAGTGACAGCACATAGCATTGTACTTGTTGCTGGAACTGAGGAAGCTGTGCTTCATAAAAGGTAGTGTAATAGAGTTGGAATCATTGCATTCATGTATGTAAATGTATGGAGTTGGCTCTAAGTATTTCTAGCTGAGGTGGAAGAAGAGAAATAGTGCTGAAAAAATCTGAAGAGTCAAAGAATAGATCTGATTTGCAGGGAGAAGGTGAAAAAATTCAAGTGAAAAATTGTTAAAATAGGCACCAGGGCAGCAACTTCTTTAAAATATTTAAGAGAACAGTTTAATAAAATATAAGTCTTGCTGTGTCATCAGATTTAGCTGTTCTCTTTGATGTTAGATGTGTTTTAAAGGAAACAAAAGAAAATTTGGCTAGCAGCAATTTTTATGTAGATTGAACTTAGTGCTTCCATTCTCTCTTGTAATGTCAGATCTAACTGAATCAGTCTGCATTCAAATTTAACTAATGAGCATTGCATTTATGCAGTTCTTTAACTGAAATTATAATATGCTTTTGTGTAAACAATTTTTAGGTACACTTCCTATCAACCATACCTATCAGAATCTGTAGAAGTTTTGATTATCCAGCAATTACAGCGTGTTCACAAATCTTTTTTTCCCCTCTTTCCTTTTGCAACAAGGCATTGTATCCACATGTGATGCAGATGCTCAGGAGGATGCTTTGTATTGCTTTAAAGACTACCATTCCTTTTACTATAGTGTTCTTCTTCCTCCTCTCTTATCTTACACCAGAGTTTGAAATAGAACTGTGCACTTACAGCCTGAGGTTTTGCCATGTAAAGGATTATAGATCTCTTGTACTGCCTGGAATGTGGGGGTAGAGCTGGAACTGGTTCCAGCAGAGGAACATCTGCCACCACAAAATTATTTTGCCTCCATTAGGAAACTATGCAGTTAAACTCCCTATTACAGAAAGCTGTGCAAATTGTTGGTTGGTTTGGTTATTTTTTACCATTTTGTAATTTAGTGAAGTCTCTATATGGGACCCAGTTCCCCAGGTTGTATCTAGCTAAGACAGATTGTGTCTCCTTATGTCCTTATCACTACAGAAGCTGATGCCTTTGCAGGTTTCAGGGGAAAGCCAGGCTGAGAAAGTACTCTGACTCAGGTGGTTTCTTCTGCCCTCCTGAAACAGAATGTTGCAGGGAGGGCACTTGCCCCCATCTTGAAGAAGCCAGTAAATCCAGAATACTAGTAGGTCACAGAGAATTTGTGTATGTTCTTACAATTGCTAGTAGAACATAACCCCTTACTGAGCTGTTTGTTTGCCCTTTCTCCTTCATAGCAAGCACAGATGCCATGGCAATGCCAAAGAGTGGAAGAGTCAGCCTTGGGGCTGAGAGATGCTTTCTGCTATTTCCCTCTGATAGCACACACTCAGGTATTTGTCCACATTGTGCTTTCCTCCTCCTTATGTCTGCTATAGAGACCTAGATTTCTTTGGGCTCATAGGTGGTTATGATGATGCCCAAGAGCTCTGAGGACTTGGGAAGTCTTATTTCTGCTGTGATTTCAAGAAAAGCAGAAGCCAAATGATCTTTCCTGTTTGGAGAACAGGAAGTGTGCCAGATACTCCAAATGCTTTCAGTATGATGATTTTTTAATTTTTTTATGGTGCTCAATTTCACTTTGCTCTTTCAAGCTTGCCATGGGACACACAGGCTCTGTCAATATGCAATAAGATGTTAAGCTGAGACTAGGCTTGTTTGTGGCCAGAGCTCTGCAGTAGATTGACCTGTATTTTTCAGCACTTCCAAAGCTGTTGTGTGGTGTGCTGCTATCCATGTCTGTGTTGGTGCCAGGTTTTGTCGGGAGTGGTGGATTTAGAGCATGGGTGTTGGGTTTTCTTGAGTTTTGAGAGGGTTTTTTTCCCCAAGTTACCTTATTACACACCTTTCTTCTAAGAGGACTTTATGAGAAATGTCACTAACAGCGGTCTAAGCTGGGACTGTTAGGGTGCATCCTAAAAGAATATAAAGAAGTATGATTTTTCAGGCTGCATGTGTTATTGACAGCTTCCTCACTTCCTATATCATATCCTATATCATATCTGCAGGATACAGCACAGCCGTGTGACAGTTGGACTAGCTGAACTATTTCGTGCCATGTGTGTGTTTGTTCAAGAAGGATGAAAAAGCTGAAGCATCTTATAAGTGTTTCAATAGGCAGTTTCTCTCCTGGGGTCTGACTGTTTACAGTACAAATTATCTTCCTGTACTTGTTTCCATTTAACAAACCATACGACTGTACATGTGAGGAGTGCTCTGAGAATGGTTGATTCACATCCTTCAGGCTAGAGAGAATTCTTGCTCTGTACTAAAGAGGGATCATCTGAGTACTTACTTAGGACACCACAATTAGATGCCATGTGTTTATGTGCTTTTTATCATTTCCTACTGTATTAACTTCTCTCAGTTTGTGTTTCTCTCTGATTTATTTTAACCTTTGTCCAGTTTCTCTAATAACATTTGAACTCAGATGGATTTTGAAAATGTTGATGTTTAAAATTACTTAAAATCAGTGTCTGAATTGTCAAATTATTTAAAGAAATATTTTAATGCCTTGCAGATGTTGCATTCTCAGTTTTTCAAAGCAAAAAATTTGTGGGTTTTCCATTCCAAAAATTATAAAGCAGACAGTAATTTTTTTTTTTTTCCCATAATTTCTACAGTACCAAGGATTCAGCTATTGAATTGCTGTTCTGACTCAGCACCTGGTTTTTTGTAGTCTGGAGCACTGGGTTTGAGGTAGATCTTACATGTTCGTTCAAAGGAATAGTTAAGGGGCTGAGTTGAACCGGTGGAAGAATCACTAGTTTTTCACTGTGACGTTGCAGCAGT